AGAAAGAAAGAAAGAAAGAAAGAAAGAAAGAAAGAAAGAAAGAAAGAAAGAAAGAACATAAATGGTGATGGCAGGAACGCGAGACAGAAGTTATATCCACAGTAAGGAAGAAGAGGAGGAAGAGGCATAGGGGGAGGAAGAAGAAGAGGAGGCAGCATGGAGGGAGGAGGGGTAGGAAAGAGGAGGGAGCAGGAGGAGGAAGAAGAAATGGTGCTTAGCTCACTTTCTCCTTATTTGATCCCAAACTCCAGCCCTTGAGGATGGTGCTGTTCACGTTCATGGTGGTTCCTCCCCACTCTGTTAATCCTTTCTGGAAATATCTTCAGACTCAGAGGTGAGTTTCCAAACTGATTCTGATGTCAAACCCATCACACCTGCCACTACCCCCTTCTTCCCCTCTAGGGATGTGGATGAAGCTCTTGGCAACACCCTCTCCTGTTTTCACGAGCGTCCTAGGACTCAGCATGTAGGGACGCTGTAGGTATCTGAACCTACTTGAGTTCAGACTTTCTGAGTTCATTGAGATCCTCGCCCACTTACTTACAAGCCCTGCCTTGGCTAACAGAGCAGCCACTGTTTTTGATGTATGATTACATGTGTACACAGGTGGACGGGCACACACATGTGCAAATGTGTACAGAAATATGCCATACACCACCTAGGCGCCTCACACTCCCTCTCGGGGTCTCTGCTTGTCAGTTTCTCACGGAGGGCACCTGAAAGCTTCTCCTTGTACTCCCGAGAAGCTAGGACACTTTCTCCTGTTATCCTTCTCATAATGCCTGTAGTCCTTAAAAATGTTGTCCCAGAGCCTGGGGAATGTCGGTCAGTTGACAGAGTGCTTGCCTAGCATCCATAAAGTCCTATCTTCTATCCCCAGCATTGCATAGACAAGCATGGCGGCATGCACCTATAAGTTCAGTCCTCAGGGGATTAGGAGTTCAAGGTCATCCTCAGCTACAGAGTGAGTTCAAGGGCAGCCTGAGCTTTCCCATGTTTCCCTTTTCATTCACTCTTGAGACCTGAGTCCATGGGATGGTGCCACCCACATTCAGGTGGGCCTTCTTTCAGGTAAGCCTCTTTGGAGACCCCTCATACATACTTCCAGAGGTGTGGCTCTTAGGTCAAGTTGGCAGTGAAGATGGTAACATTGCAGCTTGAATGGAAATGTATCCTGGCACTTGGGAGCCAAGAAGTACCCCAAAGTGGTTGTAAGTGTAACAGCTTACAGCCCTGCTCTGGGGAAAGGTTTCCCCAACTTAACAACTCTGTTCTGGCACGGGAGGGTTTCCCAGCGAAGTTGTTACAGCTCTGCTTAGGTCCCCCAGAGGGCAACAGCTCTGCTCTGCTAGGGAAAGCAAAAGTGTTTCCCCCAGCAAAGGTGTTATGTTCTGCTCTGCTCTGCTTCAGGTCCAGCAACAGTTGTTAATTCTCTGCTCAGCTGCACTCTGGAGCAAAGTGGTCATTCAAGAGATTTGTTGGAAGGGAAGAATCCAGGCAGATGACTGCCTCTAGGGCAAACTGATTAGGGTATAGAGCTTATCCAGGGTTCCTTGGGGGTGGAGTTTTAAGTGTGGCTTGGGATTGGTGGGTTTTTGTGCTCAGGGATTGGTGGGGTTTCAATCCCCTGTTCCCAAGTCAGGATCAGGGGGTTCTTCCTTGACTCCTTTCACCCTGCAAAGGTTTACCACCACAGAGGGAAATGAACAATAGCTGTCAGGTGCATGAGGCCCATGAAGGTCATTGCAATAAGCCTGGTAACAGGGACACCATATGCATAGAGCTCTCCCAGCGCCTTGCCCAGCACTGTCCACAAGTTCTCTTCTCCCCACAGTCTGTTCTGGAATGCCATCTTATCCACAGTGGCAGCTTTGTACCCACAGGAAAGGATTTTCAGGCCCTAGCAGGTGACTGCCTTTTGCAAGCCCAAAACAAAGACTATTCCAGAATAGCCAAAGAATGTTATTCTGCTTTGATCTCAAAGTGGCAGCCCCTCACAGGGGCAATCAGTGCCCAAGTCAACAAGTAGCTGCACTGTCCCCCTCCCCAGGAGCTCTCCCTTTGATTGACTTCGCTTTCCAAATTGGGATTCTGCACCCTGACTCCATCTCATTTTGCTTGTTTGTGTGAGAGGGTCTCTTGTAGCCCAGGGTGGCCTTGAACTTGATGTGTAGCTCAGGATAACTGCGAATGTCTGATTCTTCTGCTTCTTCTTCCTGAGTGCGGGGACTGCTGGTGCGCCACCCACCCCCTGGTTTCTGCAGCACTGGGCACTGAATCCAGAGCCGAGGCAGATACCACCCCAGCCTTCTACTGACATATTGGACAAGATCATTTTTTTCTGGTAGGAGTCTAGAGTCCTGGGAACTCTAGAATGCTGAGAGGTATAGCATCCAGGCCTTTCTATGTGAAATGCCAGGAATAACTCACCAGGTGTGTTAATTCAAAATGTTCCAGATGTTGACAAATGTCCCAATGCAGCAAAATCCACCACACAAAGAATCACATCTTTGAGAAAAAAGTCCCATAGGGCAGCAAGGGTGGTCCCTGTGTCTCCTTCTTACAGTGAGGAGTCTTCTGCTTCCTGCAGTACCTTTTGCCTGCAGACTGGATACAGCAGCAGGCAGGGTGTAGGGCCCCAGCTGAGCCCACTCTTGAGGCTGAAGGGTGGAGCTCAGAGTAAAGAGTGTGTGATATATGCTTATGGATCATGAACAACCCTGAGCTGGACTCTATCGTTTGGTTTTTTTTTTATGTTTTCTTTATTATTTACACAGTATTCTGTCTGCAGGTACAACTGCAGGCCAGAAGAGGGCATCAGATCTCATTACAGATGGTTGTGAGCCACCATGTGGTTGCTGGGAATTGAACTCAGGACCTTTGGAAGAACAGTCAGTGATCTTAATCTCTGAAGCCATCTCTCCAGCCCTATCGTTTGCTTTTACAAGACCCAGCAGTTCCTCCTACTCTCTGTCACCTGCCACATTGGTGATGCATGGGTGGAAGATGTTAGGGCCCTCCCTGGACTCCTGTGAAGATTTAACCCTCAATAAATATGAACAGCAACCACTGACATCAACGTCTAGCCAAATGCACCAACTCGGTGTCCCCTCACTGTTTTGGGCAAAAGCAATGGCCCTCCACAAACTATTCAAATGCTAGTCTGTGGAGGTCAGAGGTCAACTCTTAGTGCCACCCATTTGATTTTGAAACAAGGACTTTCACTGAGCCTGGAGCTCACTGATTCATCGAGGTTGGCCAGGCAGTGAGCCTCAGGGATCTGCATCTGCCTGCCTCCACCTTCCTAGTGCTGGGATCACAAGTACTTGACAACGTGCCTGGCTTTGGTACATGAGTCCTCATGACTGCACAGCAAGACTTGTACTGACTGAGCTGGCTAGAGCTAGCTAGCTCCCCGGCCTTTCTTTCTGCCTTTCTTGTTGTTGTTGTTGTTGTTTGTTTTGTTTGTTTGCTTCTCTGTGTAGCCCTGGCTGTCCTGAAGATCCTGCACTCACAGAGATCCATTCTGCCTCTGCCTTCCAGATGCTGGGATTAAAGTTCTATGTCACCATGCTCAGGCCATAATAGTGCCTATTGCAGGCACTTTGAATCTCTGCTGATGGTCACAGAATCCTTGGCCCTCTGGGACTTGTGTGAGTACAGAGCTGGCTCAGAGGTGCCTTCTACCCACCTACTACTGTATAGAGCCATGGTTCTGGGCCCCAGCCCAGTGCCTAACCCCAAAGGGCCTACTACTCTTCATAGTACCTGGCCCACAGTCAATTGCCTGATGCTCTTGTCTCTGCTCCATGCCTCAGCAGCTGTGACCAGGTAGCTCTCCTAGAGCCTCAGGTTCCTCTTTGGCGAAATAAGGGCTGATCAACACAAACCTTCCAGGAATGTTCGAAGAACTATCTGAGGCCAATAGGGGCCCTGAGTGTGGGATTCATAACAAACACTGACGGCTGTTATCACTGATTTAATTTTTATAAAAAGCATAGTAATAAGAGGCATGCATGTACAAGGAGAGCCAGGTCCATCTACCCATTTTCTCGTAGACCGCCTTATGTGGCTATGTGTCAAGATACCCGCTGCGGGCTGCCTGGAGAGGCATTCATTGGAGAAGGGGACAAAGCTTCTGTTCCTATTTGAAAGTAGGTGAGGGGGGTGGAGAGGGAGAAAGAAACATGCCCCTCTGTAGGTGCTCTTGGGGCCCCTGTACCATGGGGGCATGCTCAGCTGAGCTCTGGAAGCTTCTAGAGAAAGGCACCTAGTAACTCTTAATTGGGGAACCTGTGATAAGCAGAATCTAGGTCTGTATCTAGCCATGTGTGTGTGTGTATCTGTGTGTGTGTGTGTGTGTGTGTAGTCTAACTGAAGGCTGTGTGTGTCCTGAGCTGGAATGAGCTATGGGGTAGCTGAAGTCGGAGGAGCTAGCCCTATCCCTTCCCCCCCAACTAAAAAGGGGTGCACACGGGGCTCAGCCCCAGTATGGGGCAGTGACTGTCCCTGATCCGTCCCCATCCAAAACTGTCGAAGAAAGAAACTCAGCTTTCCCTTGTCAGAGGAGGTGGCATGGAGAAGGCTCGGCAGGGACACAAAGGGACAGCGCTGTGGGCAGATGCTGCCCTAGGGGGACACATCCTCTTCTCTCTCTTCACCAGCTTGTTCGCCGGCTTCTTCCTCCTCACCGGCATTCTCTTCCAACAGGTCCTCTACGTCCTCTGTCTCCACACTTGGCTTTTTCTTTTGAAGTAGAAACAGAAATGCTGGTGAGGGGCAGGCCCTCCCTATTCCCCAGAGGTAAAACCCCGAAAGCCAAGGGCAGGGAGCTGCTGGGAGCCCAGAGAGGAAGTCCCTGGGCACCAATGGTGCCCACTCCAAGCTGGCGCAGCCAGTGCTCAGAGCCATGGGATGGGGAAGGCAGGCAAGACCTTGGGAATCTAAGAGCCAGGCTTCTGCCACTTGCAGAGTAGGTTACCTTGAGCCTGCTCCACATGGGGCACCTTGCTACCCTCACCTGTGATGTAGGTAAATGGAGACAGCCCCCATCATGGGTAGCCCCTCCCTGCTTTCATTCTTTTGAGACCAACTCTTGTGGTATAACAGAGCCTGGCCTCAAATTCTGGATTTTCCGTCCCGGGCTCTCCACGGTGCTTGGGTTAGAGGTATGGATTATTCTTCCTAGCTCCCGAGTGAAGCTCTCTGACCCCCAGAGTTTCAGGCTAACTGTGGAGACTTAAGAGAGGAGGAGGTACAGGGCGGGCAGAAGAAGAGCTGAGTCTGTGACCCTCAACACTTTCTCCAGTTCAGCATCATCTAAAATGTTTCAACTTTGTAAGGAAAGCTTTCCAGGATGTAGGACGCCAAGCACAAGTCTATTGGCACCACGGCACTGTAACCTTTGCTTGCTGAAGGATGGGGTGGACCAGAAGTGACAGATGGGAAGAGCCTTGGGCTTAGGGACAGAGAGGCAGGACTGTAGTCCAACCTGTGCTGTAAATGGGGGCTCCCCTCCCACTCACATACATGGCTCTCGGCCAAGGGCTATCCGAATACAAACTACATCACGAACTCACTCCCTGTCCTCAAGAAGTGGGAGGGAGACAGAGAAAGTGGCACTGGGGAGAATGAGGTGCTGGAGAGACGGCTCAGCGCTTAAGAACACTTGCTCCTCTCGCATGGAATCTGTATTCCATTCCTAGCAGCCATGTCAGATGGCTCATAACCACTTCCACCTCCATCTCCAGGGGATCTCACACCCTCCTCCTGTGATGTCACCCTCCTGCCTGGATCTACATATGTGCTGGCAGTACAGGTGTTACAGGTGTCATGATCCCACCTGGTTTGTGGTTTGATATTGAAGACGGAACCCAGGAACTTACAAATGCCAGGTAAGCAACCTAACAACTGAGCTATATCCCAGGCCCTTCTAAATAGTTGTTATATTTATTCAGAGTGTGTGTGTGCATGTGTGTGTTCATGCGTGCAATCACATATGTGATCATGCACATGACCCGAGTTCCACAATATCCTGGTTGTAGGTAGAGGACAGCTTGTGGGAGCTGGTTCTTTCCTTCCACCACGTGGGGCAACTCAGATCATCACCAGCCTTGTAGTTAGTGCCTTCACCCATTAAGCCGTCTTGTTAGCTCCACTAAAACATTTATTTATTTTTGTTTGCTTTTAGTGTGTATGTGTGTTTTGCTTGCATGGATGTCAGAATACCACATGCGTGTTCTGGTGTCCACAGAGGCCTGGGGAAGGCATCGGATCCCCTGGAGCTTGAGTTGAGTTAGACAGTTGTCTGGGGTCCTCTGGAAGAGCGGTCAGTGCTCTTAACCGCTGAGCCATCTCTCCAGACCCTCACCCTGAATGCTTTTTAGACACAAGGGCTCCACACTTTCTCTTTGTCTTTGGACCCCAGGACACAACTTAGAAGAGCAGGCACAGGTGTGGCTCGGCTTCATTGCGTTCCTGACATCTGGCCCTTGTCGCCTTCCTATCTGGACCCCTGAGAACAATAGTGCATAGGGAGGAGACCCTTTTCCCCCTCTGTCCCCAGAAGGTAACCAGGCATCATCTTTACAGTGCTTTCTTCGCTTTCCAGATGGTAACTGAGGCACTGGGAAGAAAAGTGAGAAGCCAGAGGACAAGGCAGAAAATGCTGTGGGCTGGGGCTGGGGCTGGGGGCGGGGAGCAGTCACAGGCCACACTCCTGTCACCTGGTTGAGTTAAGCCAGAACAGCGCACAGAGGGCAAAGCTCACAACCCTTTCCTCAAAGCCCTCACTCACAGATTCTCAGGGGCCTGATTCAGGGGGCACCTTGCATGTTGAAGAGGAGCCCTACCATGGCAAGGAAGAGGACAGCGGGAGGCAGGAAGCTCTCTCTGGTGTCTCCTGGGAGACAAATCTCCTCAGGCGATAGAATTAAGTCCACCCTCTTACTAGAGGACACTCAAGCTCCATCCAGGAAAGTTACTGGCTCCAGGTCACCCAGGAGGTCAGAAGTTGGGCAGAACTCAGGTCTCACTGCTCTCTCGCCAACCCCAGCCCACCCATGTCCCTGCTGAGGTACTCACAGGCTTCGGGCTCTTCCTCAATGCCTCTACCTCCTTTCTCTTCAGCTCTGAAAAGATGACCTCGAAGAACTCCTCTTCAGCTTTGGCAACTAGCTCTTCAAGGTTCAGGGCCATCTCCTCATCCTTCTGCTCGTCATCTTTGCCCTCCGCCTTGCCTTTCTCCTTCAGCCGCATCTCACGGTGTCTGGCCTCCAGGATCTTTTCCCGCCGGGTCTCACGTTCGAATATCTGGGGCAGAAGTTGGAGAGATGGCTCAGAGTTTAAGAACACTGGCTGCTCTTTCAGAGGACCCTCTTTCAATTCCTAGCACCCACATGACAGCTCACAATTGTCTGAGTAGTTCACAGGGGACCCGACACCCTCACACAAATGCATATAAAATAAAATTAAATAAACTGTTTAAAAAATATTTGGGGCAGACAGGGGCAGGCTGGTGGCAAGGGAGGCAGGGAGACAGCTGGAAACCCCAGAATAGTCTGGGTATCTATGGAAATTTGTTCCTGGTGAGGTCTACTGGGGGTCATATCAAGACAGGAGGGCTAGTCCAGGAATGGTGGTACATACTTATGATCTCAGTGCTCAGGAGGCTGAGGCAGGAGGATTATTGTAAGTATAAGCCAGTCTGGGCTTGCTTTGTAATATTTTATCACACTGTGTAAAGATATGTCACTATTTTGCCTTGCCTGCCTAAGGCACCCAACCGGTTTAATAAAGAGCTGAGCAGCCAATAGCTAGCTAGGCGGAAGAGAACAGGCAGGACTTCCGGGCAGAGATAGGAACTCTGGGATGAAGCGAGGCCGATTTGCCAGCAAGACACTGAGGAAGTCGGACATATGATACTGAGGAGAGGTAAAGAGTCACATGGCAGAATATAGAAACAGGTTCATTCAAGAGCTAATCGGGAATAAGCCTGAGCTAAGGCCAATCTTTCATAAGAAGTCTCCGTGACATTATTTGGGGAGCTGATGGTCTTAAAAAAAAGTTTGACAACATGGGCTACTTCGCAAAACATTGTCAAAAAATAACATCTCTGCCAGAGCTGAGAGATTTATTATGTATTGCACTATTCCCTGTGAAATTAAAAAGATATCAGCAATACTCACACATCAAGTAAATTTGTAACTGAAAATACATCTCGGATTATGTGAACTTTTCACGTTTGCTTTTGCTTATTTGTATTCATGCATTGGAGAAAGCAAACAAACAACTTAGCCAGATCTGGTGGGCATGCCTTTAAACCCAGCACTCGGAAAGGGAAGCACAAAGGAAGGCAGGGGCAGGCGGATCTGTGAGTTCAAGGCCAGCCTGGTTGACAGAGGCCAAGCCAAGGCTACAAAGTAAGACCCTGCCTCAAAACAAACAATTAAACATTTGCTCATAAGAGCTAGAGACATCGGTCAGCTGTTAGAGTGCCTGCCTACCAGAGATCCAGCTGCAAAAATGGTAATGGTGACACACACCAGCAACCCTGGGATTCAGGAGGCAAAGGCGGGTGAATCAGAAATTCAAGGGCATCCTTGAGCAGGGACACTGAGTTACTCAGTTCCAACGCCCCAGATACACAGGCTACAGTGAAGAATGTCCTTTGGAGTAGGAAAGATGATGATTTTAGTCCCCAGCTCAGGGGTGAGGGCTCAGCCTCAGGCACAGCCAGGAGGCAAGCCAAGCCTCAGCATCAAGAACTTCAATCCCCACCAGGTGGTGGTGGCGTATGCCTTTAATCCCAGCACTCAGGAGGCAGAGGCAGGTGGATCTCTATGAGTTCGAGGCCAGTCTGGTCTACAAGAGCTAGTTCCAGGACAGCTAGGGAAACCCTGTCTCGAAAAAACTTCAATCCCAGTGTTCCCCATACTGCTGGGGAATGAGCCTAGGGTAGGGAGAGGGGTAGTGCTGGATCTCAGTGGCCCTATCATCAGGCAGGTCACTTCCGTTGTAGTCTCTGTGGGCGACTGCTAAGCCTTCAGAGGAGAGGCTCTGCTGCCAAGAAGTCCCATTGTTTTACCATTAAACCACTTTGATTTACAGCCGAGAAGCCAAAGCCTGGGCATGCTGGGTGACCTGGCCAAGACTACTGAATGCTAGCAGCAGAGCTAGGGCAGACCGACAGTTTGGTGACACCATGCTGCCCTTGCCAACCACGGCAACCCATTTCTCCTGCCTTGGTCTCTATGTGACAAGCCAGGTCAGGACGTGTACAAAGTGGGCCCTGCCCTGGCACTCACAGAAGATGCTATGTTCTTCTCGTTCCTCTGCAGGGTGGAGAGACTGCTGGAGACCTCCAGCAGAGTGGTCGTTCCAAGCTGGGAGCCACAGGCAATGAGACACCCGGTGTCCTGGACCCGGAGGCAGAAGAGGGCCTCATCACACACCTGTTGAAGGGGTCAGCAGAACCAGGTACGGTGGGAAAGAAAACCGAAGTCACACACACCCTATTATCTGGCCCTGTTGGAACACCCCCAGCAATGCACCCTTCCACGGTGGATGAGGTTCATTTGCTGCCAAGACCATGGTCCCCAGCCTCCTTGTTGGTCTAGCTCCATTCCTGCTGTGGATTGCTAAGCTCCCTGACCTTCCATGGCCCCAGCCAGTGCGGCTCAGCTGCAATCTGCTAATACAGGGTGATGGGGGAGCCGCAGAGAATCTGAGCATAGGGGTCTGAGTAGAGGGATCACCACTGGGGAGGGCAGAAAATGGTTTTCTCTTAAGATTCTCCCTGTTTTATTGTTGTTTGAGTCTGGCTCTCACGCAGCCCAGGTTGGTCTTGTAGACAAGAATGACCTTGAGCTTCTGATCCTCTGGCTGCACCACTGTACCTGGTTTCTGCAGTACGGACAGAACCCAGGGCCTTGTGCACACTAGGCAAGAGTCCTATCAACCGAATAAACTTGTTTCTTGTGGTCCTGGCATGGAACTCAGATTTGACAGACTGACTGGCACCTCTGGTCCTTCCCTCCTGTTTAAATTCCCTAGGGCGATTCTTCGACATCATCACAGCTGTAAGTCCCCTGGCCCCTCCCTTCTGCAGGAACCCATGCTCCCCAAGGCCAGAGTCCTGTCCAAGTGCATCTACCAAGAGCAGCAAGACACACATACATGCCTCCCAACGCTGGACCCATGGAAGGACCCCAGAGGGAGGGGGACATGTGACCTTCAGGCTGAGGGCAGGGTCACACTGCTTGAACACCAGGTCCCAGATGTCCAGGGTCCCATCCATCTTGGTAGTGAAGAAAACTGCTGGTCTCACAGGGCTCCAGGCTCCATCAGAGAGGTAAGCCATGTGGTACCTGTAGGAGCCAGGGTCCAGGGTCAGAGTCAGAGCCTGTGGTGGGGGAGGGCTGAGGCTGCTTACAGCTCCTCTCACTGAGGTTCTCCCAGGACCCAGGGCCTCCGAGTCCTTCTGGGTAGGAAGTTCTTTCTTGGGCCTGATCTCTAGAATGCCAGTCTTACTCCTCTGTGGGTCTCAGGCTGAACTTTGCAAGGACCTGGACTTTGAAAAGACCATGGCTCTTTTCCATGGGCTGACTGGGCATCGGTATTTCTCACAGTGTCAGACCTGCTGGAACTGGGATCCACCGTGGGGTCCCAGGAAGGAGACACCCAGGAAAGTCCACAATTCTGAGATGGGAGTTGGTTCTATTTCCTCCTGGTCCTTGTTTGGATCTTTAAACGCTTGTTTGGTGAACAGGAAATATTTTGAATAATTTTAAAGACATATTTTCATGTGTGTGTTTGCATGTGTGCAGGTGCATTCATGTCACGGCACACATGTGGAGGGCAGAGGACAACTTGCAGGAGTCAGTTTTTTCCTTCCACTAAGAGGATTCTGGGAAGGAAACACAGGCTGTCTGACTTGGTAGCAAGTACCTTCATCCACTGTGGCGTCTTACCAGGCCAAACAAAGATTCATTCTTCAAAGTGGATCAAAGTGGGTGGAATATTTTTAAAATTCTCTCTTTTTCTCTCCTCTCTCTCTCTCTCTCTCTCTCTCTCTCTCTCTCTCTGAGTTTTCTTCTGAACCCATTCTCCCTCCTCCAAAGAGGTACAGCTAAGGCTAAATTGTTGGGGAATAGTATCTTAAGTTGTGTTGCTTTGTTTATGCTGCTTTGCTTAACTCTGTGAAGCTGTGATTCTTTGCCTGCCTAAAACACCCGATGGTCTAGTACAGCGCTGAACGGCCAATAGCGAGACAGGAGGAAGGATAGGCAGAGCTGGCAGGCAGAGAGAATAAATAGGAGAACCTGGGAAGAGGAGGAGCGAGAGAACAAGGGGAGGAGGACATCAGGGGTGAGCTACCCAGCTGCACAGCCAGCCAAAGAGAAAAAAGGAAAGAAAGGTATACAGAAATAGAGAAAGATAAAAGCTCAGGGGCAAAAGGTAGTTTGGATAATTTAAGTTAAGAAAAACTGGCAAGAAACAAGCCAAGCTAAGGCCGGTGTCCATAAGTAAGAATGAGACTCCGTGGGTGATTTACTTGGGGGTTGGGCCCCCAAAAAAGCCAAAAGAGTAAAACATCAAACAAGACTAAATTTCCAGGCTTCATTTACTACTAAGTTTGTGAACAGCTGGGCCATACTGAGAGAAACAAGCCAAACAGAAATAAATCCCTGGTTTTTTTTTGTCTTTTTTAGACAGAGTCTCACTGTGCAGCTCTGGCTGCCCGGGAACTGGAAGAGATCTATTTACCTGCCTTTACCACCCGAATACTGGGATTAAAAGTATTACCATGCCCAGCCCCGCTGACTAAAGATTTTATTTTATTTTTATTTTATGTGCATTGGCATTTTGCCTCCTTGTATGTCTGTGTGAGGATGTTGGATCCCTTAGAACTGGAGCCACAGACAGCTCTGTGCTGCCATGTGGGTTGCGGGAATTGAATCCAGGCCCTTTGGAAAAGCAGTCGGAGCTCTAAACCCTGAGCCATCTCTCCAGTCCCCTAACTGAAGATTTCTGAAGGCAGTGTATAATTTTTAGTGTAAGTATATTCCAAATACTGCATGGGGGCATATTTATACTCAAAATTCTTTATTAGTGTTGAGTGGGTGTGGTGACACAGGTTTTTTTTTTCTCTTCTTCCTTCCTTCCTTTCTCTCTTTTTATCTTTTTTTATTTGCTTTTCAAGACAGGGGTTTCTCGGGGGCTGGAGAGATGGCTCAGAGGTTAAGAGCATTGCCTACTCTTCCAAAGGTTCTGAGTTCAATTCCCAGCAACCATATGGTAGCTCACAACCATCTGTAATGAGATCTGGTGCCCTCTCTGGCCTGCAGGCATACATATAGGCAGATATTGTATGCATAATAAATGAATAAATATTAAAAAAAAAGACAGGGGTTTCTCTGTGTAACAGCCCACACTGTCCTGGGACTCACTTTGTAGACCAGGCTGGCCTCAATCAAACTCACAGAGATCTGCCTATGTCTGCCTCCAGAGTTCTGGAGTTAAAGGTATGTGCTACCACCCCCCAGCAACACAGGCTTTTAATCTGAGCACTTGGGAGGCAGAGTAGTATCTTAGGGTTTCTATTGCTGTGATTAAATACCATGATCCAAAGCAACTTGGGGGTGTGACTGGAGAGATGGCTCAGAGGTTAGACGCACTGACTGTTCTTCTAGAGGACCCAGGTTCAATTCCCAACACCCACATGGCAGCTCACAACTGTCTGTGTCTCCTGTTCCAGAGGATCTGATGTGCTCCCATGTGGGGTGATTCTCTAACGGGCCAGCCTACCTGACCAGTCTACTTAGATCAGTCCTAACCGACAGTAAGAGCAGGCGCACAGTAAATACTTCAGGGTCTGCCTGAGGAATGGCAGTTGAGTCCTGGGAGCGGCCACGTCACATCAGCAGGTGCCAGCCTAACAGATCCATCCTTCCCCTGGGCAGGGTGGGGTATATAAGGTTTCCCCCTTCCTTAATAAACTGAGCTTGTTGCTTTGACCTGCTCCCAGTGCCTATGTCATTGACCCCACGCATACCTGCTCCCTCCTCCAAGGGAGACCCACATTACCTTGTAACACTCACACAGACATCCATGAAGTCAAAAACACCAATTCATATAAGATAAAAAATAAATTATTTTTTTTTTAAAGAAAGCAACTTGGGGAGGAAAGGGTTAATTTCCTTTTAGACTTCTAGGTGACAGGCCATCATCCAGGGAGGTCAGGACAGGGACTCAAAGAAAGAAATCTGTAGGCAAGACCTGAAGCAGAGGCCATGGAGGAAGAAAATCACTGGCTTGCTACTCAGGGCTTTCTCACCCTGCTTTCTTTATATACCCAGAGACATCCTGCAGGGGACTGGGCCCTCCCACATCAATCACCAAGCAAGACAATGTCCTACAGATCTGCACACAGGCCACCTCATGGAGGCTTTTTCTCAGTTAAGGATGTCTCTTCTCAGGTAATCTAGCTTGTTGCCAAGTTGACCAAAAAACAAAACAAAACAAAACAAAAAATACAAAAGAAACCCAACCAGGACAGGTAGACTGATCGCTTGTGAGTCTGAGCCCAGCCCGGTCTCTGTAGAGAGTTCTAAGTCAATCAGGTCTACGTAGTAAGACCCTGTCTCAAAAAACAAACACCCCCCCCCCAAAAAAAAACCTCACACTTCTCCGGTACTTGAGAGGTAGAAGCACACAAAAGTTCAAGGTTACCATCCTTTAGAACAACAGAAAAAAATCATTTAAAATGAAATTTAAATTTCACTGGGAATGTGATATAAATCTAGGTATTAGTGGGTTTTTTTGTTTAAATTTTTGTTTGTTCATTGATTTTTTTTAATTTTCGTTTTGTTTTGTTCTAGACAAGATCTTTCAATGTGGCTCAGGCAGCTTCAGATTTGGGATCCTCCTGCCTTGGTCTCCAGAGTGCTGGGATAACAGGCATGAGCTACCATACCAAGTGTCTGAAGCGGACCCGTGTCCCCTCTGCTCCTCTATGACCCTCTCACCTGGTCCACATGATAGACGACTCCCGGCTGTCCTCAGACCATATGCGGGCTGTCCAGTCACCAACAGTCAGGAAGTTCTTTGGGTAGAAGGGGTTTCTCTGGAGGGCATAGATGGGGCCGTGGTGGCCTGAGAAGGTACAAACGATCTTCTCGGCTGATGTCTTGGCCTTGCGGTTGCAGGAGATAACGATGCCCTGCTCGGTGCCCACCATGAACTTAGTTGGCTGTGGAGGGGACAAACAAAAGACAGGTGTCATGAGACCTGGGCTCTAGGCTGGACCCATGTGACCTGCCTGTTTCAGCTCTGTTCAGGCTGAGTCCCGTCCGGCTTCCCAGCCTCTTCAGGAGTATTCCTGGCTTAATAAGGCCTTCCTTGGCTCATCTGGTCTCTAGAGGGTCATTAGGAGGCCTCTCCACAGGCATCAATGCATACTATGCAGAGAGAGAATGAGAGAGAGAGAGAGAGAGAGAGAGAGAGAGAGAGAGAGAGA